ATGTACCTGGAGGACGTGCGTTCCATCTCCGAGCAGATGTGCCGCACGCTCGCCTGGTTACACGGAAAGGGGGTCCTCCACCTGGATCTCAAGCCACAAAATTTTGTGCTTGAGTCCGGTGGGTACTGCGTCACCTCCCCACCGCTGCAGGCATCGGGTAGGGTAGGCCTTTGGAGCATGGAGGAGTTTCGGCTTTGCTGCCCCCAGCCAGCGCAAGATGGCTCGGCTTGTGTGGAGGCCGGCTTGGCCAGCAAGGCGTACAGCCGACCCCTGGATGTCCGAGTGCGGCTCATTGACTTCGGCATGGCCGCGTGCCCTCAATTCACTCGCAATGCTGGGGATACTGGACTCGGATGTGACCTTTCAGGTACAGTGGCAAGACCGAGCCGCACGCAATGGGGACGTGGGCGTACCGCAGCCCAGAGGATCTTCTCGCGCTTCCTTTGTCCGCAAAGTCGGACATCTTCAGCTGTGGGCGGGCTGCCCAGGGCCTCTTTTTGTAACTAGGAAGTTTAGGAGTTCTGGGACGTTATCAACACCCTGAGGCTGACAATCGTCGAGCTTTATACCGGGCAAGTGTTGCTCCGTTGCGGGGCCGACGCCGAGCATCTTGTCCTCATGGACAAGATCCTGGGCCCATTCAGCCCGTGCACGCTGTGGCGGCCCAAGCAACTTGCACCAACTTGCATGCGCAGCAGAATCATCCTCTGGCTCTTTAGGCATCCCCGGCCATCTTATCTGTCAACTGTGTTGACGCGCAAGGCCGTGCCTGTGCTGCAAGCCTGACAGCGCCGACACGATTGCTGTTTCTGTTTAGAGTGGCCCTGTGCCCATAATGATGTGGTTGGATTAATGTTGCACTGGCTTTAGTAAGGGGCACACCCCCCCACCCCCCAAACAAATTTGGACCCTCTTTATGCGCCCACGTTCCGCGTGAAAATCCTGAACCCTACAGCCTAACCCTAAAACCCCTAAACCCCTAAACCCTGAACCCATGAACCACAGACCATGAACCACAGGGGGGAGGGGGGGGGGGAGAACCCAAAACCCACCATGAACCGCAGTGGGGGGGGGGAATACAAACGCGCGGCGCGGTGACCGCCCCCCCAACAACTTGGGGGGAGGGGGGGAGGGTGGGGAACCGCCCTCAGGACCTTAAAGCCTGAGGCATCCTGAGGCTTTCCAGCCTTTAAGATTCCTGATCCTGGAGCCCAAGGCCCTCAGGGCCTCAAGCCTTACTGCGCAAGCCCTTGACCCTAAACACAAGCCCTGACAAAACGAAACAATAATCCGGAAAAAACTGTGTATTACAAAGGGTGACCAGACAAACTTTCTAAAGATAGTCCAGCCGGCCCGTGGGCTACCTATCACTTATCACGAAATGTGTTTGGGGCCTCGTTTCGTAAAGAATTTCCATAATAAGCCTTACATGGAAATTTCCGGGCTTAGCTTTCTGGATTCTTCAGGCAAGTGAAATTAATTCTTCGAACGAAGACGCTGTTCTTCGGGCTAGCAGCGCCGTTCTCCATCAGTGCCGCCCTCTGTGGCGGCATGACCTTCCTCGGCCCTTGCCTGCAACCCCTCAACGACCTGTGAGGTGCCTAGGCAGTGCCTCATACCAGGGGTCATGTGAGCAAGCGCCAAAACCTCCAGCCATTCAATTCAGTAAGGGGTGGACACGAATGCCCAAAACCCTGTAAAACGATGGGAACACTTGAAAAGCGACACCCCTATTTTAATGAACCGTTGGGTGTGCCAGAGCCTTGACTTTTTCCCAAAGCGACACCTACAAACATCAAGCGTGGATAGTTGATGCTAAAACCCTGTAAAACGATGGGAACACTTGAAAAGCGACACCCCTCATGTTGCGTCCATTAGCACCTCGAGCCGGTTTTGGCAGTCGCTCATGTGAAATTATTCGAACGAAGACGCTGTTCTTCGGGCTAGCAGCGCCGTTCTCCATCAGTGCCCCCCTCTGTGGCGGCATGACCTTCCTCGGCCCTTGCCTGCAACCCCTCAACGACCTGTGAGGTTGCTAGGCAGTGCCTCATACCAGGGGTCATGTGAAATTATTCGAACGAAGACGTTGTTCTTCGGGCTAGCAGCGCCGTTCTCCATCAGTGCCGCCCTCTGTGGCGGCATGACCTTCCTCGGCCCTTGCCTGCAACCCCGCAACGACCTGTGAGGTTGCTAGGCAGTGCCTCATACCAGGGGGCATGTGAAATGATTCGAACGAAGACGCTCTTCTTCGGGCTAGCAGCGCCGTTCTCCATCAGTGCCGCCCCGCCCTCTGCGGCGGCATGACCTTCCTCGGCCCTTGCCTGCAACCCCTCAATGACCTGTGAGGTTGCTCGGCAGTGCCTCATACCAGGAGGCATGTGAAATTATTCGAAAGACGCTGTTCTTCCGGCGAGCAGCGCCGTTCTCCATCAGTGCCGCCCTCTGTGGCGGCATGACCTTCCTCGGCCCTTGCCTGCAACCCCTCAATGACCTGTGAGGT